GTATGCAACGGGGCCAACTGTAAACCGAGGGACGTCCCCTTGGCAGCTTAGATTGAAACCTGGATAGCCACAACTTTCCGGGCGATCCCCACCCCAGAATGGATAAGAAAAGTCAATATTTCCACACCGAAACGGCTCACTGCAGGTTTCAAACTGTTGTTGATCCTGGCTGAAAGATTTCGGGATGTGAAGTAAAGTGAAGCTTGTGATTATGAACAACAGTGACGTGGTTGAGAGGAGATCCTTCATATGCATCATTGACAGAGAGGAAAAGGAGCTAGAAAGAAATGAAACGGATCCCGGAATTGCATAATTTGCTAAAACCGTCTCGACAAGAAGGAACTCATTTGATTATTCACGAAGCCAAACCTCATTTAAGTTTTTCACAAAGGTGAAGCTTCTTGCGGGATTCGGAATGACTACTTGATCAGCCATTGACAAAGGTCAGTCTAATTCTAACTAAGGCTTCTCCCAAGGATGATGTGAAGAATTGGTCACGGTTTACTACGTTGGGTAAATTGCACTTTTTTCCCACTTAATTTAAGTTGAATTTCATCCATCTCGTCAAATTAGGAGCCATAATTAAAAATTGTCATCACAATAACTTGGCTGTTCTTATTGCTTTTGATTACAAACTAAGCTTACTCCTCTTTTTTTTTTTTTTTTTTTTTTTTTTTTGTGGGTGAAAATGTTCTACCCTTTCATGTCGACTTTTCCTTTTCGTACGCTGTATCAGTCGCTGCGATTAATTTCCATCTTCCCGGTCCCCATCCCCATCCCCCTCTACTTTTTCTTTTTCTTTCTTATTCTTGATTTATTTCGGTTAGGATATTGTGTTTCCCGGGAAAAAAGAAAAACAGCCATAATCTTCTTGATCACAAAGGGTTAAGTATTCATATCCAAAGGCAGAGGCAGAGTATGGTAGCTTACGCTAGTGAAAGTGAAGCAACCGAACTTGAAACAACGGAAAGTGAAGAACCCAATATACATGGAAACAAGTTCATATATGCATGGAAACATGTAAAAAGAGAAACTAAAATGCTTTCAAAACTAAATGACACAGTTGAGTTTACACAGCACAAATTCTTATTTTCTCTCAGCTGCCTCACTTAAGTGCATTGCACTAGATCCAAATGATGCTAGTTGACTACAGCCAAAGTCACAGAACCAAGTGAATAAGTTGACCAACACGATGGTCCTCATGCAAAATCAGCGGACTAAACCCTGTTTTTCTTCTAAGCCTATCAACACGTTTTTCTCCTAAAACTTCCCAGTCATGTTTGGCTTCTTAGACTTTTCAAGTCGACTATCTAAACTGCTTCTGGAACGTCAGGTCTCGCTGTTCCCCAAACCATGAATACAGTTTAATAATAGCTGAAATGCACTTCCAAAACGCTAAGGAATGCTCGATTGTTGACTAGTAAAAATTCACCCAAAGAATTAGCCCTACTACACTAATTTCGTTTCTAACTGGCGTAGAAGTCTGTGTATGGCATATATCAATGCCGTAATATTGATGCTGGACTGTGGAATAATGAATGATAGGAGGAGCTGCTGATATGCATGCATTTTGCCATTTTCAGAGGGTGCATTACTAACTACTTCGTGCCAAAGCCAAGCCTAGGAGCACTAGTTACTTCGTTGGCGAGCTGCTTTAATTCTTGATGAATTTCGAGAATCCAATGAATTCTTGCTTAACATATCTATTTTTTTTTTCTGTAACTGCAGTAGATAAAGGGTGAGAATGATGAGGAGACTTATTGTTAGACTTCATTCTTCTTTGAACTTCAAATTTTGGGGCACAGCAAATGAGTCGATTTTGAAATGATATTACTGTTATGCTATGAACTCTCATTTAGTCCACACACGCGAAACAGTCATGAATGTAGGAAGGATGCCGTGCGGGTAGACCTTTGTATAGAAAAGACCAAGTCCCTTAATCTGTCTCCATAGCTTGCTCAAATGAGGAAAATTTCTCCGTTTAGCATTATCGCATTTAGTGTAGCTGTAACTATGTAGGTAAGTATACGTCTAAAGGTCACATTCTCAAAACTACAATTGAAAAGGAAAAAAAAAGACTGGTCCTTATGATATTAATGGATTAGCGGGTCCTCGTCAAATTCAATCCAAGATGTGCAGATTTCGGGACAGGACGCCGGTGTATAGTAAATGTGGGGTACCGGGGACATGCAAGTCAAATACAAGAAGCAACGGTCTGTGCAAACTGCAAAGTCGTCCGCCCGGCGACCCGAACCTTCGAAGCCAATGTCCGGTGGAGGTAAGTGCATATTAGCCCTTGGGTCATGATGATGATAATAAGGCTTCTTCTATTACGGGCATGCAATAAAAGTAAGGTCCCCAATGTTTTGCATGTAAATGTTTGGGCTCTAATTGCACATAATAAGAAGAGCCTGACGCTAATAGCACGATCGATTAGAAAAAATCATGGCATGTTGGTTTGACTAGAATAGTATCCGGTGATTAATTGAGCAGGCGATGAGATTAAGGATGATTGATTGACACATTAGTGTTTCTACTATCGATGAAACAGACATGCAAAGCAAAGCATATGTTGAACGACTCAATTGAATGCAGTTAATAAGTAGTAAATTTTTTGTCAACAATGTAGCACTTTATAGGTCAATTTTTTCTAAATATCTAATTATTTATTCCTAGAAATTTTATGCATGTTTAATTATTATTATTTTTTACTTTACATATGTCACATCTTAAAAATATTAGAGTTTTATATTATTGCTGTACAAAAACCCAAAAAATGGAATTAAAACAGGAAACATCTGGTGTGCTTGGTCCAGACCTTATCAAATGCTAAGCAAGTAAAGAAACTATTTGTAATTGTGGTGCCCCATCTTAGGATTCAAGGATTTGCTGAATTTTAACAAAGCATTATTAGGGAAACAAGTCTGGAGGCTGATAACAAGGCCCAACTCCCTAGTAAAGAAAGTTTTGAAAACAAAGTACTTCCTAAAAGAGACAATCTTCAACTGCAAGGTCCACCAAAATGCATCATGGATATGGCAAAGCATAACGGCAGTAAGGGAGGATGTTCAAAGAGGACTAAAAAGGAAAATAGGAAATGAAAGAAGTACAAAAATTTGGGACGATGACTAGATACCAGAGATCCCCCAAGGAAAGCCTGTATCAACTAGGCCTCAAAACTGTCAATTGCAAAACGTGGCAAACCTGATCCAAAACTACAGATGGAAGAGAGCCTTGGTTTTCAAACTATTCAAGGAAGAGGAGGCCAAAAAGATAATGAGGATACCAATCAGCTTGGCTAACAAGGAGGAAGGTCACTTCTGGTTACATAGTGGAAATGGCCAGTATACAGTACCCTCAGCATACAAGGAATTCAATGAGAAGGGAGACAACCAGAAGCAGAAAGGACAGGCAAGAGGAGAAACCAACCTAGAGGAGCAACACCTATGGAAACACTTGTGGAAGCTTAAAGTGAAACACAAGCTGAAAATTTTCATCTGGAAGTGCCTGAATAAGGCATTACTTCTTAACAAAGTGGTTTTAGCAGAACCAAGAAAGAATCACCAATATGCGAGAACTGTGTGGTGAAGAGGTGGAAACTATGGAACACCTACTCTTTTATTGCAGGATTGCAGAAGGAGCATGGCATATAGCTCCATTGAAATGGGAATTGAGGACCAAAGAGGGAACTTTAAAAGATGGTGGTATGCTTTAATAGAGGCCAGGAAAAGACCTGAACGACTGGAACACATTGCACTCACTGTAAACATTTTGTGGCAGATTTGGAAGGCCAGGAACGAGAGTGTGTTTCAGAAAAGCAGAAGATAAGCAATTAAGATCATACACAAATCTCAAGAAAAGTGGTTGGAAATTCAGAGAATCAATGACAGAAAGGACAAGATGAGCATATCAGAAACAAGAGAAGCTGCAGTGGAGCAGGCAAAAAGCAGAATAGAGAAATTCCTATAACCATCTACCTAGCTATTAATAATTAAGGAAAAGATAGACAGATGGGAATAGGCATCATTGCAATGAGGGAAAATGATCAACTGCTGGCTAAGTGGGCAGTAACGAAATACAGCACAGGGAACAATCTAATGGATAATGCAGCTGCCATCAAACTAGCAATGATAACGCAAGGGAGCAACAATGGAGGAGAATTCAAGCAGCAATCACACAATGATAGCTTTTGAAGTTGATAAAAGCCAAAAAGGCTACTGATATTCAACTTTATTCTCATCTAAAGGACATTCAAGATCTAAACTCAATGTTTGTGGAATGCTCATTTGTATTAGCTAGGGAGGAATTTAGGAATAGTATAAGTAATCTGAGTCTTTATGCGCTAAGCATATCTTTTGACGAGGAATGGCTAAATCCTCAATGTCGCATACACTTGTATAGCTCAACTTGAGTCTTTGCTCATTAAGCGTATAGTTCTTATTAGAAGCTAATATAATCAATTATTGTTTCTGGGAAAAAGTAAAAAATGGTGCCCTATGCTGCACACTGTTAACCAGGCACGCTTCTAAGTTCCGTCTCGCCAATTCATCCCGAAACTGATGACGTACAGGATTCTTGGGTGGACTCACTAGCGGTGGCAGGAGAATCTAGAAACGACAGAGGAGGGATTTTCAAATGCTCAACCCTACCCTCCAGCTTTTCTACTACCTTCTTGCTCATTGATGGTCGATTTGCAGGATTCGCCTGGATGCACAACAGACCTATCAAAATCAGCTTCCTTGAGGTCTCTTCTTCCTCTTGGTCCATGACACCATCGATCTATAGGTCCTTTCCAAGTTCAAGATGCTCATATACCCAATTTGGAAAATATGTTTCACTAGTTTGTTCTGAATAAGATCCAATTTTCTTTCTCAAGCCGACAATGTCAAGCAGCATCATCCCGTAACTGTAGACGTCGGATTTGTGAGAAATCCCCCCAAAGTTACGACAAAATACTTCTGGGGCAATGTATCCTCTTACATATTCTAGCTAGACCAAAATCAGAGATCTTGGGACAGAAGTCTTTGTCCAACAGAATATTCTGAGGCTTTATGTCGAAGTGAACAATTCTTGTGTTGCAACCAACCTCGGTGTAGATACTCCACACCTCGTGCAGTGGCAACTGCAATTTCGTACAACGTTCTCCGCTCCAACTGACAATCTGTATTCGTATCCTCTGATGATTCTTTCTCATGTATGAATCTGTCCAAGGATCCATTGGGCATGAACTCGTGGGTCAGCGCCCTCTTCTTCCTGTCGTAACAGTGACCTAACAGCGTGACCACATTAACATGGGAAGTTCTGCAAATGCTGGCAACTTCATTAATGAATTCGTCTTCACTGCCCTTGTCATCATTCAAGACTTTTACTGCTACCAGACGGCCATCAGATAGCTTGCCTCTGTACACGCTACCATATCCCCCGTGTCCCAATATGTCAGCAAATGAATTGGTCATTTTCTTGACTTCTGAATATTTGTACAGCTTGGGAGCAATTGATCCATGTTCCTTCACGAATGCTTCGACTTGTTCGTTATTCTCTTCATCCGACCTCCAGGAGACGACTCTGCTTCCCAAAATGAACGTCTTTTGAGAGTAGACCATGCACACTGCTAATTTTTCTACCGTCCCACCAATAGCAATGGCAATGAAGTAGCCTGCAAATGAAGTTTGGACGAGGAATTCTAAATATACTGCATAGTTCCGCCGTGACCGAGTACTGGATTTATACTTGGTTATATGGCATTGTCCCTCCCAATATTTTAATTTGTATCTTTCTTTGAGATAAATCCTTCATCCTTTCATGTCCTTCGTATCAACAGGAATGACGTTTTCAGGTTTAACAAAGTTAATTTCGTCGAAAGAAGTCAGGGGACTGGGAGAGTTACATATCATCATAAGAGATCATAAAAGACCCCGTCCAAGTCCACCTAGACCTCCACTAATGGTATCAATATTGACACAAAAGAATGTATTTGATCAGAACCACACACCTTTCTGACTTCGAAAGCTGGTGCGGTTGCACATACGATCATACGGCCGATCAGAACAATAGCAGGCAAACGAGTTGGAACTTGTGTTATACCCACACCATCCACCTGACCGATTGCATTCACTGCAGATTGAGTTATTTGCTTCATACTGCACCCAAAAGCCAGCAGTCAGGACCGCTCTTACAGTTACAGCCACACTAGTCACTAAATTCTGAGCTGCAGTTCGATTAATTGAAACCCAGATGGAATTAGCGCAGGTAACCCGCAGCTGACTCGCGTTAGTTGCCGTGAAAAAAATTGGCAGGTGTTTCTGTACCCGTGCCATTGCCAAGCAAGCAAACTGATTTGGTGGCTGCTCTGCTAGGTTCGGAGGAGTGGTGCAATTTTAGGACAGAGTTAAGTTATAGACGTTCTTAGGATAATTGAAGAAGTTGGAATTGAAGGTGGTGTTACGGAGAAATTGAAGACAGTTATCACTCCAAAGATCATCTCTGGCAACAATGAGAGTGCTCGTGGTGGTATCCACAGGGAAGAGGATACGGTACGTAACAGGCGGAACCGTGAGCCTAGGAATGTTAGCTTGGCAACTTACCTCAAAACCCACAAGAATTTGGGCGATTCTCACCCCAGAAAGGATAAGTGAAGGTAATATTTCCACACTCATAGGGCACCCCACAGGTTACATAGTGCTGATTCTGGCAGAAAGATCTTGGGATGTGAATTAAAGTGAAGATTGTGAGTATAAACAATAGTGAAAGGGTTGGAAGGAAACCTTTCAGATGCATCATTTACATGGAGGAAGAAAGTCAGGAAAAAAGTGAAGTGGATCCCGGAATTACATTCACAAGAATTATCTTGACAAGAAGGACATATTATTGTTACTGGTTTCTCACAAGGAAAATGAAACCTCTTGAACTTTGGATGCATTGCTCAAGTGGGGTGAATGGCTTGGACTTTGACAAAGTCTGATGGTAAAACAGTCTAATGCATTTAATCAAATCTTCTCCCATGAATGTCAATAAATGTCAATAATTGGTCAATGGAATACTGCATTCGCTAATTTCATTTCTTTTTCTTTTTCTCTTTTAATTTTTTTTCTACTAAATATAAGTTGAATTTGATCCATCTCCCAGCTTCGTAGAATTTGATCCATCTCCCAGCTTCATATAGTGACTTGCTATGTTGTTGTATTCTTGAGAAAGGTCAAGATGGGCTTTACGAAATATCTTGGCCGCTGTTGATTCCCTGTTCTCTTTTCCAATTCGTTGGCTTTGGTATTCATTATCCTGGTCAACCGGAACGGTCATTGCCATCATTTTCAGGTCTGACTACGCACCCCTCTTCATTGTAACCCTTTGTTTTTTTTTTTTTTTCTGGGGGTTTCAATAACTGCTTAAAACAATAGATCCACTCGATCGTTTTAGTCACAAGGCAAGAGGATTAGGGATTGGTAGCCAAAGCGTATAGATTTGTAACACGCATTAAACCTGAAGCAACTGGACTTAAAATAACAGAACGCCAAAAGTGAAGAGACAGAATGATGCCTCACTCGTACATGGAAATGGAAACGGAAACTGTATTGCTCTCAAATCAAAATCACAGTTGAATGTACAAAGCAGAAAAGGAGATAAAAGAAGACAGAAATTCTTATTTCTTCTCTGTCTCACCTAAGAGCATCCCCCGTAGATGCAAATGATGCTATTTGACACTAGAATACAGCCAAAGATACAGAACCAAGATAATATGATTCCTTGCAAATGTTATTAGCCAATAAGTTAACCAACATCACGGTCCTCGTGCAAAATCACCAGACTAAACCCTTCTTCCTCCTAAACCTATCAACACGATCTGTGCTCATGCGGGACTTCTCAGTCTTGTTTGGCTTCTTGGACTTTTCAAGTCGACTGTCTAAACTGTTTCTAGAAATCTCTGGAACGTCAGCCCGCAGTTCAAATGTGTCCTTGGTAGTGCTTTCAGTTGCTTTGTTCTGATTGTTGCTGTCAACTGATACTTTTTCAGTACCATTTGTCACAGGCTTTGATTTACCAAGTGCCAAAACAAATTTTTTCAAGAGTTTTATGTACTCGGGATAAAGTTCAAGATTGCAATGGCCACCACCATTTATCCATACGGGTTCATACTTTTGCTTGCAATGCTCCCAAAGCTGCTTTCCATGAGAACAATCAACAACTTCATCTGCTGTTCCCTAAACCATGGAAACAAGATTCATAACTGAAATGTGCTTCCGAAACACTGCTGATTAATGACAAGTGTTTGACTATAGGCAGAGGGGTGTTCAGTAAAGAAAGGGTTAGTACCGGAAAGAGGATTGAAGATCCCAAGTAGGGAAGGTAAAGGAGAACTTACATGAATCACCAGGACGGGACAATTTATCATACCAATCTTGTCAATATTCTGAAACAAGCAAGGTTAGTGAATAAGCAGTCCTGAATCAACTGTAAGTCACTTTAAGGATGCTTAACTCAGGATCATGTTACCTTGTAAATGTCAAACCAGTATGTCCGTTTGACAGGGTACAAAACTCTTATCCCTGACATAATTGGACTATGTAAGACGACACCTCTCAAGTTTGGTATGCGAGATGCAAGATCAACAGTTGGCCCGCTACCAACGGATTGACCATACAGTATCAACTGTTCATCTTTCACTCCATATTGCTCCTTCAGGCATTTATATATTGCATCAATGTCCGCATATGTATTATACTCTGTGGGCTGTTTCAGGAGAGGAATAAGGAAGACTGTGTTACTTTCTGAGCCAAAATTAAAAAAAGAGCATTCTAGGGCCACAGGATGCACTGGGTTTAGTGAAGTCATTGTACAACAAATGCAAGATGTTACAAAGTGAAGTACTAAAATGCTTCTTTACTAGGCAAGTCTACATGGTCTCTCTCTCTCTCTCTCTCTCTCTCTCTCTGTGGATGGAGTGAAGCTTGATCTCCAGAGAAAAATTTATGACACCTTGAAGAATGGGAGCTTCAGATTGAATAAGCCCTCCACTCTGAAATATAGAACACTTGAAACTTTTAGTCGAACCTCAACAGAAGGAATTTCCGCATGAATCATGAAAAGGCTAGAAAATGTGAGTTCAGAATCAATTAATCTTCCAGATGGGGACAGGGAGTGCACAACTACGCCATCAAGTGACTAAGGAGCAAAAGAATAACCCATCACACTGGAAGAAGCATGGGTATCTAACCTTTCCAGTGGATTGTCCATAGCCAGAGTAATCATATCTGCATGGGAGTAATGTGACTATTAAGCTCACCAAATCATTGACATGACATGAAGCACAAGAACAAAAGCGAAACAATTAATCCAAGTAAATAATATACCAAGTCATACACATATGAAACAGCATATCACTGACAAAGAAGAAAACAAAAAGGAAAAGGGAAAAAAAATACACTCAATAATTCTTCCATAAAAAAATTCACATCCCAAAGTGGGTGATGATGAGCTACTACCATCAGGAAGCACTAAAATAGGCGGTGCAATATTGAGTAAACAGCAAATGCATGTTTGACATGACTAATTTGAATTTCCTAAAGAGGGAAAAATGGTAGCTCATCACAGCAAAACCTTCGCCCATCAGACAATTCCTTCTTAGTAAAAAGAAAAGGTCAACATGTAAAAATATCAAAATTAATATGAAAGATCAAATTAACCTGGCCTTCTGCAAAGCAAAAAATGAAGATTTTGTAAACAATAAAAGCCTGAGAGTGAAAACTTAGTTCTACATTTTCAAGTCACTCAGTGTTAATCAAGAGAAACACTTGCTTTTTGTATGCTATTCAGTTCGAAACCACACAATATACTCAGTCTGGACTTGTGTACAGGTCAAATGCTTGAGCTTTAGAACTGTTGATGGTTGGACTAGTGAGTTACAATAGCAGATAATACAGTGTGCTAAAAGTGATTTTGTTTGCTGTGTGGAGTGTGTTGCTTTTGCTGCAACAGTATACTCAGTTTAGAGATGCAGAAACTAGAGGCTGTTCAAGAATGTTCTTACTTCCCCTTTTGCCATTCATGTTCATATCGTCAGAGATATTAGAAGCATTGTCTTGGGTTAGAGACCAATTACTAGATTGAGACAGAACCTAGAGATTTGTTTACCATTAGGTGTTCCCTTGTTGTTCTTGATGCGCTGTAAATATTAGCAAGTCATAGCTGCTGTATGCGTAGTTACTTTTATTAGAAGAGTACATCTGATGTATTTGTCTCGGGGAATCTCCTGCTTGTGTATGCTTCAATGGTTGATCAATAGAGGCATATAGTTTACAAAAACCCAAAAAAATAAAATAAAATAAAACCAACACAAAAAATTTCCCAAGATGGCACTTTTCCCAGATGACTAATTTTTACCAACTAACTAGCCAGGACTTGGGCCAAATGTACATTAGGAAAGAAATTTTGAAGCTCATCAGGAATCAATATAGAAAAATCATTGATACATAACAATCTTTTTTTTTTTAATCATTAGGGCCTAATTAAGTGGTTTACCAAAATGAATCAACTATTATCTTGGCTGATTCAAAAGGTGCTCTCTCATTGTTCAAATATAACTTCGTCACTTGAAGATTTCATAAACATCTAGTTCTATGAATGCAACATCAACTTGCTTCTTACTAACCATCACATTACTCAGCTAGCAGGCAGTTTCTTGAGACGCAGTTACCTACTTATTCTATTCTTCCAAACTCCAGAGTTTAAAGTGTCTTAGCAAAACACTTAAACAATGCTGTTGTCCGAAAATCTGCAGTAGACGAAAGAAGTTTGGACATAACTGTTCTCCATAGGAAGCTTCCCAGCCTGAAGAGGCACTATTGGCTTTTAAGACAAATAGTTAGACAACTTCAACCAATGACCACATCATCTGTTCTTTCGGAGATTTAATTTCTCCTTAGAAAGACTATCTTCTTGCCTAAAAGCAGAAATCTTCCCCTCCCCGCCCCCCCCCCACCCCTCCAAACCAATAAATAAACAAATAAACATTTTTACCAAACCGAAGGTTTAATATGAAAAATTTGAGCACTCGGTGCTTTTAGCATCCCAGCTCACAGAATACCAATAAAAACCATAGAAATTGCACAAGATTAACTTATTTATCGGGAAACCGGAACACCCTTTATCTATTTATTTTTTCACAAATCACCTAAATTAGGACAAAATACTGTATTTGCAATCAAACCAAAACAGAAAAAATAAAGAATAAGCTAAAGGCTGCAACTTGAGCTACCAGTAAACAAATAAAAAAAGGTTTAAAAAAAAAAACAAACAAAGCTTTACCCCATTAAATTAACCC